TGTGGAGGTGACAGTATTCCAGCTGAGCTATTCAAAATCTTAAAAGATGATGCAGTAAAAATGCTACACTCAATATGCCAGCAAATTTGGAAAACTCAACAGTGGCCACAGGATTGGAAAAGATCAGTTTACATTCCCATCCCAAAGAAGGGCAATGCCAAAGAATGTTCAAATTACCACACCATTGCACTCATTTCACATGCTAGCAAAGTGATGCTCAAAATCCTACAAGCTAGGCTCCAGCAGTATGTGGACTGAGAACTACCAGAAGTACAGGCAGGATTTCGAAGAGGCAGAGGAACTAGAGATCAAATTGCCAACATATGCTGGATCATGGAGAAAGCTAGGGAGTTCCAGAAAAACATCTATTTCTGCTTCATTAACTATAATAAAGCCTTTGATTGTGTGGATCACAACAAATTTGTGGCAAGTTCTTAAAGAGATGGGAGTACCAGCTTATCTTATTTGTCTCTTGAGAAACCTATATGCGGGTCAAGAAGCAACAGTGAGAACTGGACACGGAACCACTGAGTGGTTCAAAATTGAGAAAGGAGTTTGGCAAGGCTGTATACTGTCACCCTTCCTATTTAACTGATATGTGGGGCACATCATGAGAAAGGCAGGGCTAGATGAATCATGAGTTGGAATTAAGATTGCCAAAAGAAATAGCAGCAGCCTCAGATATGCAGATGATACCACTCTAATAGCAGAAAGTGAAGAGGAACTAAAGAGCCTCTTGATGTGGGTGAAGGAGGAGAGCGCAAAAGCTGGCTTGAAACGCAACATTAAGAAAACTAAGATCACGGCATCCGGTCCTATCACTTCCTGGCAAATAGATGGGGAAGAAATGGAGGTAGTGACAGATTTTATTTTTCTGGGCTCCAAGATCACCACAGATGGGGACTGCAGCCAAGAAATTAAGAGGCTTGCTCCTGGGGAGGAAAGCTATGGCAAATCTAGACAGCATACTAAAAAGCAGAGACATCACCCTGCTGAGAAAAGTGCGTATAGTCAAGGCTATGTTTTTCCCAGTTACAATTTATGGCTGTGAAAGTTGGACCATAAGGAAGGCTGAGCACCGAAGAATTGAGGCCTTTAGTTGTGGTGCTGGAGAAGACTCCTGCGAGTCCCTTGGACTGCAAGGCACTCAAACCAGTCAGTCCTAGAGCAGATTAACCCTGTCTGCTCTTTAGAAGGCCAGATACTGAAGATGAAACTCAAATACTTTGACTACCTAATGAGAAGAAAGGACTCACTGGAGAAGAGCCTAATGCTGGGAACAATAGATGGCAAAAGAAGAAGGGGACAGCAGAGGATGAGGTGGCTAGATGGAGTCACAGAAGCACTCGGTGTGAACTTAAGTGGACTCCGGGGGATGGTGGAGGACAGGAAGGCCTGGAGAAATGTTGTCCATGGCGTCGCAATGGATCAGACATGACTTCACGACTAACAACAACGACAACATTGAAAAGGTTTTGCCATTTTGATGTCCATTCTCTCTATTTGGAGATATCAGTTTGGAGCACCTCACAATCCTTTTTTGATTTTAGCAACCTGATATAATTTAGAGTCAGCAACAAACTTGGCTGCTTGTGATTCCAGATCATTTAGGGATTACTTGAAAAGCCTTAGTCCCTGTGGGTTCTCACTGTTTGCACTGATCTATTGGGAGAAATTTACCATTTATTCCCACTCTCTGCTTTTTGTTCTTTAACTAGTTACTGATCCATTCTTAGCCCATGACTGCAAAATTTGCTCAGGAATCTTTGAAGGACTTTGTTTACTTGGACTTCCAAGAGACATTTGACAATGTCAGCTGAACCACTCCTATATTCATATTTACCAACGCTCACAAAGAATTTTAAAAATTAGTGAGATGGGATTTACCTTTACAGAAGCCATGCTAATTCTTCTCAGCAAAGCTTGCTTTTCCTTATGCTTACTAATTTTACCTTTAATAACACTTTCGGGCAGTTTACACAGACCTAACCAGCTTGTAATTGTAAGCTAACCAGCTTGTAATTGTAAGCTAACCAGCTTGTAATTTCCCAGATCCTCCCAGACCCTTCCTTTAAAAAAAATAATGCTACATTGGCCATTCTCCACTTCTCTGGCATAGAGGCTGATCTTGGGGACAAGTCCACAGATTTCAGTGGGATTTCAGCTGGACTCTGCTGTGTAGCTGCCTCTCAAAATCAGCCAATTTCACTGGACTCAGTTATTGGACTGAATTTGATGGATAGTGCATGACAAGGACATTCACCCAAGTGGGAACAACAGGGATAATAGACAGTAGCCATGGGATGACTAACATTCTGTCATCTGAAATACCAGATGAATTTCTGTCATTCTATTATCTAAAGTCCTGGAGGAACTGTGATCTGACCTTTGGATTTTTTGGATGTAGAAGAGTGGGGTGGATAGTCTGATGATCATGGACTGGAACCATGGGATGAGATGTCTCCAGGCCCTGTGTGTGTGGCTTGTTTTTGTCATTTGGAAATCATGTGCAGTTCAAGGGTGATGAATCCTTCATGGCTGAGGTTGTGCAGAAGTTATATTGGGGTATTTTCAGGCTCAAGATTTTGACATTATGAGGGAAGGGGGTTTGATATAAGGCATGCTTGGTGTGGTAGAATCTTGACTGCAGGAGAGAATTCCAAGGGTTGTCACCCTAATGAGGCAGCCTTAGTTTTTTATCTTTCTTTCCTTCTCCCCCCTCCCTCCCCCTCCCCTCCCCTTATATGGTGGGGTGGGGGTGGGATTGTGATAGTACTTGCATTCAATTTTTTCTCTGGGGTTTGGGGGTGTTTTTTTTTTGGTTGGAAATTGTTTACCAGCTTGGTCTTGTATGATTTCTGGTGCATTTCTTTACTGATCTTGAGTTTTTGTTTTTTGCAATGGGCCATACATTGGTTTTCTTGTTTTGGACCCTTGTTGTACTGTTCCAGTTTTCCTGAATAAATTTTTCCCAAACCCAGATTTATTTATTTATTTAGACAGCTTATATGCTGCTCCCTTCACATAAGCCTCGGGGTGGCTTACAATCATTAAAATCCCACATATAAATACAGAAAATACATAGAATACATAAAATAGTGGAAACAGCCTGGTCAGTTTAAAATCAATAAATAAACCTTAACAATTAAAATAGCGTTTAAATAAAAAGGTCTTGGCCTGGCACCGAAAAGCAAATAACGACAGCGCCAGGCGGACCTCTCTGGGGAGCGCATTCCATAGGTTGGGCACCACTGCAGAGAAAGCCCTCCTCCGAGTACTCACCCTCCTAATATCCTTCATGGAGGGTTCCCGGAGAAGGGCCTCTGCTGCCGATCTCAAGGGGCGGGAGGGCATATATGGATTCAGGCACTCCTTTAGGTAACCAGAACCTAAGCCATTCAGGGCTTTGTAGGTGATAACCAGCACCTTGAATTGGGCCCGGACTTCAATGGGGAGCCAGTGGAGCTGACGGAGGACTGGGGTTATATGAATCATTAGATTCAATGATTAATTTGCATATTAGGACCAATACAGAGGTCCCCCATAGTTCTTCTGGCTTTACCCGTAAGCCTTCATTGCGGGGTGACTTTTGATTCCCCTCCTCAACAACTGGTTGCTTTTCCTTCAAAATGAAAGCAGCTATTGTTATGAATACTCCTTCCTTTTCTTTGGAAGAGAAAAATATTCCAAGCATGCAGAGAGTACTTTTTAAAAATCTATTGCAACAAAGGGAACAAAAAATGGTTTCCTTCCCATTTTCCAGCTCACCTGAGCACATGTTCATATCCCATTTTATGCCCTGCCCCTGGCTGCTTCTCCCTCCTCCTTTCCCCTCATTGGCTAGGGTACCAGGAGTTTACAATCTTTCCGCCTGTCTACTCCACGCTGCTCCAATACCTCCCCTTCTTCACAATCCAGCCCCGCCCCCCCCGCCGCGAGCTACAATAGGCTCATTTTGTTCTGCCAAGCTTGTCAATAAACAATCAGGAAGTCTTGAGTCAGTATTTGGCCATCCTGCCTATGTGTCTGTTTTCTCACACCTTGTGCTATCGGATCTTAGTCCCTCCCCTCCTTTGGGCTAAGTAATTTTCTTTGTTACCTTTTAAATCGTTCTACTCCCTTGTTTCAAATCATCCTTTTACACCTATCAGCAATGTTTGCAACAGACAAGTTTAAAAGAGAAATTGGTTGTAAGGCTACTGTCCTTAAGTGGATACGAGAGAGTAACATGTTTTCTGACATTTAAAGAAGTAGATATTTATGTGCACACCCTTACTTCCACATCAAGCATTCCTAGATGAATCTCCACATCTCACACTATTATACACTGCAGAAGGATCTTCACTGATTGCTTCAGTTTGTTACTGTACAGTGGTACCTTGTGTCGAAGCGTGCAGCCCGGTATGTAGACAATCCACACATTCTAGAGCAATAAAACTAAAGTCCTTTAATGCTAATTGTCTACGAGATTTACAACTCTATAGATAAGTTCCCTAATAGCGGTCCTTGCGAAGCAGATGTTAACGCTCTAATGGCTTCTCTTCTCAAGCCCACGTGGGATCACTCTCCCAAGTCACGCCTTTCCTCCCTCTTACGTAATAAATTTTGCTGCTGTTCATATCTACGTAAAATCCATCTGTTTTCGGCTTTTGAGAAATCCACGACACCTACTGTGTCTTCTGTTTCCGCCTCAGGGAGATCAGCGTAAGAGGGGGAAGAGGCAGTTTGCTCTGCCTCCTTCTGAGTAGAACTTGCAGCTTCCTCTTTCTCATGACTCTCTGTCTCTGATAAAGGTCCAGGCGTTTGCTCAATGTGCTGGGGATCAGAGGAAGATGCAGCAGCTGGCTCAGCTGTCTCTGCGTTGGGTTGTGGGGTCAACTCTTGGGCACTGGGTGTCAAGTGCAAGTCCTCCTCATGAGTCATGTTTCTGTCGAGGCTTCATGCACAACACCTTGGCTCACAAACTTAATCCATTCCATACATGAGGGTCAATGCTAATAAGGTTAATCTGTTCTGCAACTATTTTTTTTTTACTCACAAAACTTTGAAGTAAAGTGACAAAGAACAACAAAGATCACGGCCATCTCCCACCCGCAGCGATTGTGTGGGAGGGGGTGGGAGGAGATGGGTGCGATCACGGGCCGCTGGGGGGGCAGACGGGTGTGATCGTGGGAGCGCTAGGGCAGAGAGCACGGGCACGATCACGGCCATCTCCCCGCCCCCAGCACGACTGCGATCACACCTGTGCAGGAAAGGTGGGTGCGCTCACGATTTTCACCTGATGCAGAGTTCATGAACTGAGGCAAAATTTTTATGAAATTTCTGTTCGTGACCCGATTTGGTCATGAACTGAGGCGTTCATGAGCCGAGGTATCACTGTATTTGATACAGCCCATCCTGGTCTGTCTTCTTAAGTTTTGTGTTTTAAAACAGAAACAAGCTTTATATAAATACCTTTCTGATAAATAGTAACTGTTATTTAAATTCAATGCATTTGACTATTCCTTCAATAGAAAAGCGTCAATCCAAATACTTCCTTTAATGAATTACAGTTATGGGAATATGAAAAAATGTGTCCCCCAAATCTGCAATACGTGTAGACAAAACTAAAAATGTGTCCCCCAGAACTGTACGTGTAGACAAAACTAAAGTACAATTCTAGGTCTACTCAGAAGCAAAGCTTGTTCACTGTTGCTTATTCCAAGGTAAGGAAATAAAGGATTAAAGTCTGAAGTTTTTATTTAATCCCCCTCCGCATTTCCTCCCAACACCAAATATGGATAAAATATAATTTACCACCGAGAAGTATCAAAAATGGGAATTCAACAAGACATGCAATTCAACCTTACCCACGTTTATTCAGAAACTATGTCAAGGACTCCATCGGAAATATTTAGGCATATAGGCTACAGCTTTACTTTCACGTAAACAAACCAGGCTACAAGGGCAGACTTGACTCCAGATTAAATAAAAGGAACCCCCAATTCCAGCAGCCTTCTAAATGAAAAAAAGCAACTCTTCGAATTATCTGAAGGCGGCACTCATCGTAAGTGGAATAAAGGGACAGGAATCTAAACCAAAAGCTAAGGAGAGCATTCCGCTTCAGGCGAAGGAACCCTTATGACTAGCCAACCCCTCTTCCCCCTATTGACTTTACCGGGTGCGTATGTTCGTCAGTCTCCTACGAGGAACCATCGAACCTGGAGGTTGTTGTACCTGAGCGGAAGGTCCTAGAACTTCTTCCGGACAACTAGACGCATTTCCTGTCGCCGCGAGTGTTTGGGCCGGAGCAGGTAGAAGGCGCTGCAGAGGCGAGGCGAGGGTAAGTGCGTGGAGCATTGCAGCGCGATTACCCGCAGCCCTAAGTGCGGCTCAGCAGCAGCATCGCCCCCGGGCGTACTCGGGCGCTGTGTTCTTCTGCCTTGCTCCATTCGCAGTGTACACTCAACCCTTGGGATTTGGCAGCAACCGCGGGAAGGGCAGTAGGCTGCTGAACGGGCTGTGCTGCCCCTCGGTGCGCCATTAGCTTCATTTTTTAAGCGATACCGTATGGAGAGGGTGGAGTGTTGACTGGTTGAGCGAAGTTGAACGCCTGCTTTGTTTTGCTGGTGTTGCACCACCAGCACCACCACCGGTCTTCTCATTAGGTTTTAGGAAATCGGCAAAGCTAGATGGGCGAAAGCATCTTTCTCTCTCTTGGAGAACAGAGAGATAGTGGCTTGGCTAGGCGTGCCTTCTCTGTCTGTCTGGTTTCCTTAATTTGTACCTTTAATGCTGGAGTGCAGCTGCTATGCTTCCTTGACTGGGGTTCATGGGAGTTAAAACATCTGGGAAGCACCCTTGCATCCTCGTTCTAACTCACTGTTCAGTGCTGTCGCTGACTGGGTACTTCTAGTGAGGCTTTTATCATGCAGTAGCCCGGATTCATTCACTGAATTGCATGTGGATCCTGATGTCCTCATCTTGCATTTGTATCCCTTCTTCATCCGTCTCTTCTTTCCACAAAATACTCATGAAGATGAAATAGCTGAGGAATGTATTTTAAGGAAAACCCCTCTGAGGGCATACTGCTATGCATGTTTAGACCAGGGAAAAAACCTACAACTGCCAGCATGGCTAGCTGGGAGATGCTCGGAGTTGTAGCCATTTATTCCTGTCTAAACATGTAAGGATTGCAACTTAAATGTCTACTGCTGCCCCTATTTGAGTTTTGTTTGTGTGTTGCTGTTTATTTTGCTTGCTTTGACAATTTTTTAAGATTTGGTTGTGCAGAGGATAACTCCCACCCTGTCAGTATGGTGCACCACATGCATGAGCACATGTAGCAAGCCAAACAGCCAGATGTAATACCACATTTCACATGCAGCACCCAATCAACTTTAAAGCCTAATACTGCATTTTTTAAATATTCAATCGCAGCAGGTCCTATCATCCCCAGCCCTCTGGTTTGGCTTGGGGTCACATGGAGGAACACACTTTGAAAATTATTCTCTTTTTAAAAAAATGTAGCCCTTGGGGTTGAATCAAGCAGCAGTGGAGAAAGAAGGGTGGGATTCAGCCTTTCTGTGTGTGTAAAATGAATTAATTTTAAACCCAAAAAATGATGTAGTTGAATGGTGCATTTTCTTTCCACCTATTGTTCACATGTTATTTGTGTGCCTTGCAGTAGTCCAGTCACTGCTTGTCTACTTAAGTAAACTACACTGAGTTTAAGATGCGAAGATGGCAGTATTTGGAAGAAGCAGCATGGAAACTAGCAAGCACCTGCCCAGCCCAAGCACGGTTTTTGCTGTAAGATCTGATTTTTTATTCCCTGTACATGCTTCTTGTGCTCATTCCTTCTGTCTGCCAATTTGTTTATTAGAATATTTCTATACTAATACCTGCCCTTCTCTTAGTTGCCAAGAATGGCCACTGCATTTTACTCTAAAAGTGCCAAGTGGCATGACATTTGTGGTTTCAGTAAGGCCTTGAGTGCAAACAACTTCATTGTTCTTGATTTGGCTTCCTTCACTCTTCCCCCATCTCATGTTGTAATAAGTATCATGTACATGCATCAGCAAGGGTTGCTTCAGGCTTCCTTGTTCTTCTGTTGCCTTTTGGTTTATGTGACTTTGGACCATAAAAAGTCCATAAAACACCACCCTGAAGATAAAAAAACCCCTATTTTATTCTTTTGAAGATCCATTTATTTGTCTTTCCAAGGAACTTGGAATAGTGTAAAAAACACCCATTCCCAGCCCACACTCTTTTATCCACATAGAAGCAGGGTAGATTTGCTGTACATCGATTTAAATCACTAGTCAGTAAGACTAGATTTAAATAATGGTTTTCTACATAATTTGCATGCATGCATACCTTACCCTCACATAGGAGAACTTCATTAAAATATTCCCAAACTGGGTATCTCTTATGGCCTGCTGCCATTATAGGTTTTCTCTTCCAGGGAAAGAATAATAGGATAAACCTCAGGTTATACACAAAAAGATCCAACATGATCCAAGGGATCTTTTCTTGTGGAGTTACTCTGCTCAGAAGGTTTCACTTCCATTTTTACTGCTTGTCCCTCCCTCCTCACACTTTTTTGTGCAGATATGCTTCACTCCCAACAATCTTCTATTCATTGAATTTTTTGAAAATTAAAATGTAAGGGGCTGATTCTGTATACATAGATTTGCAAAGGAACAGTGGGATTATGGTCTTTTTCTCAACTCTGTATTTTTATTTTATAACATTTTTGTATGAAGAAGAGGCATGTGATCTCTGCAGACACAAATTCACAGTTCTGAGAACTGTAGAACCAAGTATCTGTGATAATATCTTCTAAATAGAGAAACTGTCAAGTAATCTGACAGAGACCTCTGGAAGAGCATGACATTGTGAATGGTTTAATGGAATTCATTTAGCAAAACATGTAAACATTTCAAGAATACACAGCCTCATGCCGCATAATTAAAAACTAATTGTTATTTCATGATGAATAACCTTTGGACTGTAATGTACCTTATATGGAAAACTATATTTAGGTAGATTTTTTCCTGAAAAACCATTTATTTAAAAATCCAATTTAAATTTAAAAAGTAATGCAATTTTTAAAAAACATTGATTTTTATTCACCCTGCATAAGCAGTCACATCAATGAGGTTTAGTTGAGGTCTGCTCTTCATCTTGTAACAATATTTACATCAGTATGCTTTCACTGGCAATTCAAAGCCGCAGAAATATATATAGTCACAGTGCATCTAATAAGGTTATTAGTTTTTGCCAATAGCCATTCTTACTTCAACAATTTAGCATGCAATCTTGCTTAAGAATTGGCATGTTGTATCAGTTCAAGACCAATGTAGTTCTGCAATCTCTGCATTACTACCAGCAGGCAAAAGGGGGTTCAGACTTCTAAAGATGTACAATTGTACTTTGATGCATTCCTGATACCATGCTTATTTAGTCCCTCTAAAATAATAAATGGCTGTATTATCCATACCTTCCTTCATCTAATCTCAGCCCTACAATATGGGGATAAGAATTAGTGAAAACTTTTATATGAATTACCGTGATTTCTCAGAAGGTACTGTATAAATCCTATGTGTTATAATGTGTGCAAGGTCTTCATGAAATTGACACTGTAGTATTAGTAATACTTTTTTTTTGGTATCTGATTCCCACAGATGGACACTCAGCAACACAGAAGGTAACTGCGATAGGGCAGAGTGGAGAACAGTAGTACAGAAACTATTGTTCATACACAAGTATTGGAACAGTTCAAGGGTTTGAAGTTTTTTTTTTTTTTTTTGCATTCTTCAGAATTACAGTCTCTCAAAAGAGCCAAAGAATTGTGTTGTATAAAGTACTCATTTTTTAGATACTAAGAACTCTAAAATTCCTGTAATATCATCAACAGTTTTATAATTTGTGGTTTCCCGATAGTCAGATGATTAACAGTCTTGGAAATGGCAGTAGAAGTAATTCGAACTAGCACTAGTCTAGAAATCTTTTCCATTGTAAACAAGAGTAGAAAAGAATATGGAACAAAAGAAGTAATATTGAATTGTTTCCCATTCACTGTCTACAAATAAGGGGCATTTGAGGATTGTCTAGTCCAGACTGAATAGTATGTATAAAATGCTACATAAGGAGAAATGTCCAGGCTGCCCCAGTGCTTCCTTCTTGTGTAATATGCAACTATGCATCATATTCTCCCTGATGCAGATCCAAGTCTGTAGGAGACATCACCAAAAAGGGACTTGTTTCCTGATTCACAAAACATCAAGAAAGAGTTTTGATTAAAATGTGGTATTATGTATTGTTCTGGCCTGAACTCAGGCTACAGTTTTGTGAATGATGCCAAGAACTCAGTAAGCTAAATCTAAGGTTTGCTTCAACAGAGGCTTCATTGAAAAAGCAAGCAAATTACTTCAAAAAGCTAGCATCTCAAAGGGTTTAGCAAGCAAGGCCCTTACAATTCTCAGCATGAACCTGCTGGCTAAGAGGCTCCAGTGAGCTGTAATGGATAGTCAGCTAAATTTCTCAGGGGTGTTTGGTGTCTGAAGAAAAACGGCTTTCCCAAAAAAAACCCATCCCAGGGAAATGGTCAGCCTTTATAGACTACTTGTGAGGCAGGGGTTGGCTGTTGCTCAGGGCAGGCCTAAGCAGTATGCAACCACTTATCTAACCTCATCGGCAAGCCTAAATGTATACTATATGCAGCTTCTCGTCATACTCTGTAGGACATGAAGTTTCTCATCATTAGCTGGTTACAGGTGATGACACCTGAGGCCTTCAGTTAGGATTCTCATTAAGCTAATCATAACACCAAGCAGAAGCTCATTAATTGGCCCAGTAAAGTGGGATCCCAGGCCAAACATAGCTACATGTTTCACCAGGCTTCAGGCAAACAACACTTAGCAAGCTGAACTCTAGGGCAGTGTTTTCTACTTATGCCATGCAAGGCTAATACTTGTAGTATGTTTTTATTTAAATAAAAAATTTCAACCTAAAAAAAAATTTCAATCTAATACTTTCCATGGCTAGAGACCCAGGCCCTGATTTTAACAGCTCAGGCCCAATACATGAATCCGTTGCCTATTCCACATTAGCTGAAGAAGTAATGCAAATTTAAATAATGGCACATTTTCATTATTCTTTTATCACCAGTTTATAAAATTACAAGTCTTTAAATAGAGACTAGAACAGCTACCTATATGTAGGAAATATGGTGGGATGTGTGTTTTTAAATTCAACTATATGAAATAATACAATAAGGCTGAGTGTTGCAGAACAATTAATCTGGCATATACATGGAACTGCAGTGGAACATCACTAAGGGCACTTCAAATTAAGAAGAGTTGGTTGTATTATCAGTATCAATACATTTTTGTGGAAGTAATCAAGACTGGAATCCTCACACTTTTCTAGGAGTAAGTATCATTGAACACAGTTGGACTTACTTCTGAGTAGACATGGGATTACATTGCTACACATGTATATATCCTGATTTGATAATTGTAAACAGTGCTTGCCACTCCTGTAGTGAATTAAAATTGCATTCTATCAGTAATACAGCATATTACTTTGCATTCATCTCTAAAACACATTGTCCAAGAACTTTACTGCTATTTTTATTAATTTACAGGTAAAAACCAAGATAATGTTGGCCAGTGGTGCTGTTACTGTTTCCAGTTTCTTCATCCTGGTAACTACAGGGTACGTCTGATACCCAAAATGAAAATGACTCCACAAATAGAGAAATTAATTAATCGGAAAAAGAAAAACTACAAGCTCAATTTAAAACAAATAAAACTTTTGATGAAATACAAGGAATCAAAGAATGTGCTGGTAAGAGTAAATTTTAAGCAATTGTCATGCTTCTTTAAGAAATGGAATGGAATGGTTTTTCTTTTCAGAAGCTAATCTTGGTTGCAGTATTTTTTTTAAGAAATTTTAAACTAATACTAAAAACATCAATCATCACATACATTAGACTTACTGGGTCAGCCCCCTGCTACATATTTTGTAACATTCTATAATCATATTCAAATCAGTTTATAATAACTTAAAAACATCTCTAAATCTACGCCAAGTCCTGTTTCTCCAGCCAATCATAGAAAAAATCTCAAGCTTGATAGAAGTCAGTGTTTTCTTTATCCTTCAGTGATAAAGTCAGTCTATCCATTTCTGTGCAGTCCAGAATCTTTCTTAGAATCAGTTCATCGGTGGGTAATTCCTCACTTTTCCAGTATTGAGCAAATGCAGTCCTCACCGCTGTGATTAAATGTAACATCAAATACATTTCCTGTCTGTTAATATCTTCCGGTATGATGCCTAACAAGAAAACTTCAGGTTTAAAAGCAAAGGGTTTTTGTATTATTTCCTCCAGCCATTTATGTATTTTAATCCAATACTTTTTCACATTATCACAGGTCCACCACACATAATAAAAAGTACCCACTTTATGTTTACATTTCCAACATCTATTTGACATATTTGGAAACATCTTAGCTAATCGACTTGGCGACAAATACCATCTATAAAACATTTTATATAAATTTTCTTTATACGAAGTTGCTAATGTTACCTTAATATTTCTCTCCCATAGCTTTTGCCACTTTTCTAATTCAACATTATATCCAAAGTTTTGTGCCCATGTTATCATAGTTTCCTTAACCTGTTCCCCTTCCTTTTTCCTGTCAAGTAAAAAATCATATCATCTTTTAATCATTTTCTCATCTGTTTTAAGCATCACTTGATCAAATGCCGTTAAGTCTTTGTAAAACCCCCATACTTTACAATCTTTAGCATATCTCGATTGCATCTGCACCTTATACCACCAGGAGATATTCAATCCCTGTTCTTGTATTACTTGATCTAGTTTCAGGTCGCCATCCTTATCCAAGATATCGTCCTATCTTATGATCCCTTCAAAGTTCAAAGCATTTGGATATACAAAACCTTCCATAGGTGAAAGCCATCTTGGTAGTTTATTATACACTTTTGACTTTAGCTTTTCCCACACCAGCATTAATGATCTTCTAATAAAATGACTCAGAAAAGACCCATGTGACTTAGCCTTCTCGTACCACATATAAGCATGCCAACCCATTTGCAAGTCATGACCTTCAAGATACAAAATTCTCATTTCGCAAAGTTATCCATTCTTTTAGCCAAGTTAGAACAGACACTTGGTAATACAACATCCAATCAGGAAGACCAAAACCCCCATTCTTTTTGGCTTCCTGGAGCATTTTTAATTTAATCCTTGGTTTCTTTTTTCTCCAAATAAATCTCGAAATTTGAAAGTTTAGGTCATCAAAGAATTTTTAATCAATTTTTACAGGAACCATTTGGAACAAAAATGAAAGTTTAGGTAATATATTCATTTTAACAAGTGCCATTCTTCCCATCAAAGATAGTTGTAGATTGGCCCATTTTTCCAGATCACTTTTAATATCCTTCAATAATTTATCATAATTATCTTCTTTCAAAGTAGTACATTTGGTTGTAAGATAGATTCCCAAATACTTAACTTTTTTAACTATCTGCAAATCTACTTGTTCCTGGAGTCTTTTTTTTTTTTTTGATCTTGTGTGAAATTTTTAACAATTTCGTTTTTTCTCTATTTATTTTCATCCCTGTAACCTCGCCATATTCTTCGATCCGTTGTAAAAGTTTAAGTATTGTTACAGAGGGTTCCTCCATTGTGAAGACCAAATCATCTGCAAATGCTTGCAATTTATAACTTTCGTCCCTAATTCTAGTACCTTTAATGTCCTCGTCATCCCTGACATTTCTATTCAATACCTCTAAGATCAAAATAAACAACAGGGGTGACAACGGGCATCCTTGTCTTGTGCCCTTTTGGATCTCTATAGGGCTTGTAAGTTCTTCATTAATTAGAATCCTGGCCGACTGTCTTTGATAATTACCTGATATCGCATTCATAAATTTTTCACCAAACTCCATTTGGGCCATCTGTTGTTTCATAAATTGCCAATTAACATTATCAAAGGCTTTTTGGGCATCCATAAACAGTAAAGCCATTGGTTTTTCAGTATGTATCTCATAATATTCTAAGATATCCAAGATAGTTCTCAGGTTATTCTTCATTTGTCTTTTAGGCAAAAAGCCATTTTGGTCTGGATGAATAAAGTCTGTTAAAAACTTCTTTAGCCTTTCTGCCAATATGGAGGCAAAAATTTTGTAATCCACATTTAGTAATGATATAGGTCTGTAGTTTTGAATCTGTGTTACATCCATATCTTCTTTCGGTATTAGTGTGATATTTGCCTCTGTCCAAGTAGATGGTATTTTAGCATTTAACAGTGCTTCATTACATATATCTTTTAAAAATGTAGCAAAGATTCCTTCAAAGGATTTGTAAAACTCAGCTGGCAGTCCATCCAGGCCAGGGGTTTTATTATTCTTTTGTCGCTTAATTGCCTCTATTACTTCCATAATTGTTACTTCTTGATTCAGTAGTTTTTGATATTTTTCAGGTAGTTTCGGTAAGTCTCCCTTTCGGATGTATTCTTTTACTTTCTCAATTGAAATCTCCTCCTTCTGATATAACTTTGTGAAAAAGTCTTCCGCTATTTTCTTAACTTGTGCACCTTGTACATCTAGTCGTCCTTCTCCGTCTTTCAATTTCAAAATCAGTCTCTTCTCTCTTTCTTTACTTTTTATGCTAACCATCTCCCCAGTTTATTAGCATTTTGGAAGAAATTCTGTTTGATCAACTTCATTTGCTTAGCAAGTTCATTTGTGTCCAAGAGATTCACTTTGTGCTTTAAAATATTCATTTGGGCCTTAAGACTTTTTCTGATGGATCTTCCTGCAGCTCTTGTTCCCGTTTCATCAACTCCTCTACTATTACTGCTCGCTCTTGTTTTTTCTTTTTATTTATTTGTGCTGAGTATGTTATCACTCCCCTGGCATAGGCTTTAGCTGTATCCCAGACATTCTGTAAAGACGTTTCTTCCGTTTTGTTTATTTGAAAGAATACTTGAATTTCTTTATTTATCTTTTCTGTAAATTTTTTATCTTTTAACAACGCTTTGTCTAGGCTCCATCTGGGTGTCCTTATGGTTCCTTTCAATGATAAAGATACAGGGTTATGATCTGCCCAGACATTTGCCTCTATTTCAGCTTCTATCAGATCTGGTACTAAGTCTGGAGTTATCCAAACAATATCAATTCTAGACCATGACCTATGCCTGTTTGAATAAAAAGAGTATTTGACAGAGGTTGGGTTTTTGTGCCTCCAAACATTATCAATCTGAATTCTTCAATCATGTTGGAACAAGACTTTGAAAGTACCCTCCTACCCTTTTTTCCTTTACTGTCATTCTTATAATCCATTTCCTTATCCACAATTGTGTTAAAATCTCCCATTACACACATAGTCTGGTAAACCACTTGTAAAAGTAATGTATGTAATTTTTGGCAAAAAGTTTCCTGATGATTGTTTGGCACGTATATTGCCACTAAGAGCACCTTTTTAAGTTTGATCGTAATTTCAACCATCAGGATCCTACCATCCCCATCAGCAAGAATATATTTAGGGTTCAGTTTTTCCTTAACATACAGTGCTAAACCTCTTTTCTTTTGAGAAGCAGAAGATACAAACAATTTTCCCAGCTTTAGACATTCCAGAAGTTTAACACTTCATTTCTTAATATTTGTTTCTTGTAGACAAATTATATCTAATTTTCATTTTTGAAGTTGAGCAAAAACCCTTCTCTTAGAATGTCCATTTAGTCCATTAACGTTTAAGGAGAGCAACTCAATTTTTCCTTCCTTTTTAGAAGCCATGTTTAAGAGAACACACACACACACACACACACACACACACACACACACACACACGTACGTCTACTTATTCTTCGCCTTTACAGTTCTACCTTTTCTCCTTTGGGTGCAAAGTTTGTACTTCTTGTTGTGAATCAACATTCGCTATTTCTCCTTCCTCAGAGTGGTACTCTGTTATTTCCATTGCTTCAGTACTTTTTTCTCCTCCTTTTGAGGCACCGGGTTCTTCCTCTTCAAGCATAACTCTAAATTTTTCGTAGAACTCTAGTGCTTTGAGAATTGAATCCAGTTTATATCTTACAGAGTTCCAAGTGAAAAATATTCCTTCTGGTGTTAGCCACTTAAAGATAATCTCTTTCTTAATCAGTTTCATAGTAAGGAATAAGTATTTCTTTTGTCCTTCTCTGACCCCCCATGGTATTTGTTTCAGAACCGTCACCTCATGGTGATCATCTCTCTTTAACGGCTTCTAATGTTCAGCCTTCAAAACATTGTCTCTTATAGACCTTAGAGCAAATTTGACATGAACTTCCCTCGGGAGTTTGTTTTTTCTGGTGTAACTCGAGTTGACCCTATATATTAAATCAATTCTCATACTCATCGCCTCATTCTCAGTCTCTAAAAGCTCTGCCAACATGCCAGTCACTAGCTCTCGCAGGTCTTCATTCTTTTCTTCGGCTATATTCTGAAATCTTAAATAGTAGGATGCCTTCTCCATCTCTAATACAGCCATTGAATCCCATATTGACTTATTTGTTTGTTTAATTAATTGTGTTTCTTTATCTACTGTCTCCAGCTTTCCATGTGTTTGTTGTATTTTTTGCGTATTCTGTTCAGCTTTAAGTTGGACATCAGATAGCTGAGTTGTTATCTCCTTAATAGAATTGTCCAATTTGTCAAACTGTTCTTTTTGCTCATTTGACATACTTCCCAGCCTTATTGCCATCACCTCTTGGGATGCTTGCATCACCTCTTCGGATGCTTGCAAAGCTGTTAAAGCCGTCTGTATCGCCAAAGTCGTCGCTTGAAATTCTCTTAAGCTTTTTGCAACATCTTCTGTTTTAGGCTGGTGGATTGGGCTCTGAGCAGCAGAAGAGGGTGCCGAAGAGGAGGAGGGCTGAGTTTTTCTCATGATGAAAGTTATTCACCAAAAAGATTTTGATAAAACAGCAAAGAGAGGAGAGAAAAAAGGAAGAGAGGAGAGGGGAAAAGGAAAAAAAAGGAAAAAAGAGGGAAAAAAGCAAAAGAACTTGCAATAATTCCAATGGTCACAGGATGGCAACAAAATGCTATTTAAAAAGAAGAAATCTCGTCACTGCAGTCTTTTCCCTAATTCACTGTTCAGTATGAGACTTATTTTGGCAGTCATCCAGTTGCTTTTGGCAGAGGTCTCAGAAAAAGAGATTGATGGCCAAGAAAAAATGGCCACTTCTCCCAACAGATTATATCCTTCTGTAACTTAATTCCACAATAATTATTGTTTTAATTTTTTGCCCTTGGGGAGGTCAAAAAGACACGTTTCAACTTTTACACAAACCTTAAATCTCCCCCCCCCCCGTATCATTCGCCACTTAAAGCACCGTTGGGGGGGGATTCCTCCCTCCCTCAAAGGGACTTTTCTTTCTTTCTTATGCCAATTAACAACAGATACAGCTTTTCCATGGATAGTATTACAAAAAGGAAGTAAAAATGCTCACCCAAAAAGTCATCACAGTAGAGAGAAAAACACCACTCAGTATATAAGTTTTCCTGGCAGATATCCAGTTAGTCTTGGCAAAAATCCAACATACAAGAAAGATCCTTCTATCATTCAATTCCACAGTAATTATTTATTTTGATTCTTCGCCATTGGAGAGATTAAAGAAAGAAAAGTATTTTGCTTACTTACAAGAAGCTCCGTCTTTCTCCCCTCATTTCAGTTGCCGCTTGAAACTCCGTGTGGGGGGGGGGAATTCCTCCCTCCATCCAAAGGGCTTTTTCTTTTTCCTTTGTGTCAATTAGCAACAAATACAGCTTTTCCACGGGTAGTACTGCAAAAAAGAGAGAGAGAGAGAGATAAAAATGTTTTTCCCAGTAAATCCGACACATTTGTAGCTAAATTCCTCAGCTATTAATGCCGGATGTCGAGGACTTGGGGGAGCAAGATTCTCCCCTGTATTGACCAGTTGAGAAATGCCTGATTTTCTTCCAGTAGATGTGGGGTTGCCACCTCACACCATCCAAAAGATTCCCCAGGCACTCTTCTTCGCCCCAACAGGGCTTAGATGAGCATCCCACGGCCCACTACCGAACAATTACCAGCGTGATAACGGAGCCCCGTTAATCACAGCTGTCTCATCCTGACGCCATACCGGAAGTCGGTGGCAGTAATTATTCTGATGGGTTCTTAACTAAAATACTTAAAGAAGAATGAAAGCACTGGGGGAAATCTCTCTCACTCTCAACTTCACTGCTAATTAGAATAGTTCCCTTAATAGTGTGCATGGACCACCTTATTGCAACTCTCAGAGATTAGTAGGTACTGGAAGGCAGTTTAATTTTTTTTCTGCTCCATAAATATCAGTCCATCCTTATCATGACTTGTCCTTTGCTGTAGTGTACAACAGTAGTTTTCAACCTTTCCACAGCTGGGAACCAGCAAAAACAGGAAAACCACCTCAGGGACCGCTGAGGCAGAAACAAAAAGCACCATACCCATAATACAGTATTCTGTGTATTAGTTTCTGAACACAATACCAAAAAACCGAAAATTCTCCAAAACAACTAGAGACGGAGCAATGAAAAATGCCAACAAAAGAGCAAAATACTGAAATTAGTGCGGCATGGCTCCCAGCCTGCTTCCACCAAGCCATCTCTCCCCTCCCTGCCCTCCTGATGGCACTGGTGCACCCCCTGCAAACATGTTGTCAACTGAGGAAGAGGTGGTGGAGCACAGCCAGCCTCATGCTGGTCCGTGGCAAACTGGATGCATCCCCCCAGTGGACCGGCAGAAAATTCCCGTGGACCTGCACCACGGACTGGTGGTTGAAAACCCCTGGTTTAGAAGAAGATGAGGAATAAGAGAAATATGAGAAAACAAGCAGTGGTTAAAAATGCTTTCATGGAAATTTCACTACAACAGTGTCACCAGCATCTATAGTGTGCAACATTTCTTTTAATTTGTGTTTATAAGCTAGTTGATAAGCTTTCCCTTCCCTTGGCATTGTATGTTTCCAGTCTTTGGCAAGCCTTAAGGCATACTTGTGGCATGGAGATTGTGGACACTGAAATACTGACATGGATCGTGGAGATATTTGCCTGACCCTGACCAGATAGTTCTGTCTGTCCCTTAATGTAGAATGCAGCATATCTGGACTGCAGTTTCCAGTGTGGAGATGTTGCAATATCATTTTCCTGATCACAGTGTGTGGTGTGGTGTGTGTGTGTTCAGTGCATTTATATTAGTTTTTTCCACTGTAGAATTCAGGGCAGCGTGCATAGGGTCCTGAGATACTTCATCCAGATGCTGTTTAGTTCCCTCAGATCATGTCCTGGAATTACCAGGAATATGGCTATGCCCAACTGTGGCTGAGGATTGCCACAGTGCTGAGGGTCTGCATTTAATACAATGCACCATGATGCTGTGCTAGAAATATTCTTCAGATTTTAGGGAAAACATTGTCAGCTTTTTAAGAAGCTCCTCAGAACATGTTCTTCCTGAGTCACTGTGGACAGATCTCTGTTTCCTTCCTGTTATAGTGCTCATATAGGCACTGTACCAGGCTGTTGTTGCTTGCAGTCCTTGAGCAAGAGGATGGAAAAGGGCTGGATAGGATATAGAAAGAATGCAGATGCAGTAATGTCCCAATACATGAGAGGTTCTGGTATGTATGGGGATCCCTGTGCATGCTAGCATGCATTAACCTAGTGGTCTAAAAAAATCTGTTTGACTTACTGCTTCACTTTGTTGCCATACTGCTGCACACAAAATTTGCTGTGGCACAGTTCACTCCACTACTGTTCTGAAGCATTTTCTGTAGTATTCTGATACCTGATTGTGGATTGTAGCCTCCACTTATTTTCTGTGAATTTTAGTTTTTGTAGGACCTTGTACCAGAGTAACATTACCATATGTACATTTGGACTAGCAAGTTTGACTACATATTACTTTTCTCTCTTTCCCTAGCTAATTACCTGCCATTTTTGCAGGAAAACAGCAAGACACAATGGAAAAAGCAGAAAGGATTTGGGTATAAATACACCAACTTTGAAAACAATTTCAAACAAAGATACACCTGTCTGCAACAGCCATTCTGGATCTAAAACACGGAAATCATCAGGTTCCAGGTATTTATTATTTGTATAGACAGTATACTTGTCAAAATAGGAGTGTAGGACTGGAATTCATCCATGCATGAAATGCATCTGCACATTATAAGCTCTGCACATTATAAGTGCTTTCTTCACCTGCGTAATGTGAATTTTATATTTTTGATTAACATGTTAGTGTAAGAGTCCATTTACTTCTGAGAGCACCTTGATTATCAGGAACAAGATGGCAGTGAAGAATAGCAAGGGGCCAGTATATGCCTTGTGTGTTCTCCAGGGGTTGAAATTAGTTGTTTGTATGGAACTGCCCATACATACAAAAGCCAGCGTGACTTCCAAGTTACCTCTCCATTGAGGCAGCCTCTTCATAGGCCAGTCCAGAGCTTTCATAGGTAACAAAGTCCAATTTTGAAACTTACTCATCCTAATATAGACCAGCTTGTTAAAACATCAGCTGGGCACCCCCAGGTTACTTTTTGCTCTGTTATAATTCCTCCTTCCTGTCTTTCACATGCATGCCTTTTCTAACTTTCACTGTGTCAGGTGGGCAGCAGCTTCCTGATACCTCCTTTCATTCCCTAGCATCAATCTGTGTATTCCTTTGTTCTGTCCCATCCTGAGTTCAGCCCCAAATGCTTGATTTCAGTTATCCAGTGCTTTGTCTTGTGCTTTGGGAGTTAATATGGACAGACTCACTGTTCTATAGCTCGAAAATCAGCCTGGGGTTCTTCTGGCTGTTAGGATCCATTTCTTAGCACATCCTGCACCCTGCATTGGTATCTTGCTTTTTCAAGGACAAGGATACTTTTTTCACCTAACTTGGACCACTGTTCTGTCTTGTTTGCCTGTATAGATGAAGGTTTCCAGATAATGTTTCTTCCTTTATGAAATGGTAGTTGAGTCTCTCTAGCCATCCTGGATTCAGGCAGTGTGTGAGCATTCCTGTATTGGCTGCTGGAGTGAGGTACCATGCTGGAGCTGCATTCACTGTCTGAACTGCTGTTTTAGCAATAGGCCCAGATAATTAATGTGCGTATCACAAGTGAGGAAAGGCAGGACAAACCAGTATGGCTAACACAGGGTCAAGGAAGAGACTGAGGAGAAGAAAGTATCCATCAGAAAATGGAAGTCTTGCCCAAATGGAAAAAACAAACAAAAACAGAAGGGATCAAAGGAAATGTAAGCAGGCAATAAAAGAAGGAAGGAACAGTTTGAGGAGCATATTAGTAATAGCATCAAGGCCAGCAATAAAGAAATCTTTAAATATATCAGAAGAAAACAAGCAGCTAAAGAAGCAGTTGGACCATTGGATAAGCAAATTAAAGGAGCACTGCAGGGGGACAAGGAGATTGCAGAGAAACGGAATCCTTCTTAGCAGAGGATACAGAGCAGATAACTTTCCCAGAGCTTATGTATTCTGGAAGAGAGTTGGAGAAATTAGAACAGATGGTTAATAAATCGCCTGGTCCAGATGGTATGCATCCTAGAAATCTCAGAGAACTGGAGAATGGCCAGCATCACACCATTTTTTTGAAAGGGATCCAGGCCAGTTACAGGCCAGTTAGGAAATTACAGGCCAGTTAGCTTAACATCTGTTCTAGGTAAACTGCTTGAAAGTGTTATTTAAGATAGAATTAGTAAGCACACAGAGGGACAAGCACTGCTGAAAAGGAATCAACATGGCTTCTGTAAAGGGAAGTCCTGTCTCACTAGCCTGTCGTAGTTCCTTGAATGTCAGTATTCATGTAGACAAGGGCGATCCAGTAGACATTTTTACTAGGTCTTCTGAAAGGCTTTTGATGAACTCCCTCACCAAAGATTCCTGAGCAAACTAAGCAGTCATGGAATAAAAGTGGGGAGGTCCTTAAAAGTGGTTAAAGAACAAATAAATGGCAATTTCTCCCACTGGAGAGATGTAACCAGCAGAATCCCATGGGGACCAATGCTTTTCAGTTTATTTATAAATGACCTGGTATTAGGAATGGGCAGTCAAGGGCCAAGTTTGCTGATGGCACCAAACGATTTAGAGTGGTTAAAACCAACAGAGTTTATGAGGAGCTCCAAAGGAATTCCCCTAAACTGGAGAATGGGCTTCGAAATGGCAAATGCAAATCATTGTAAGGAAGTGTAAAATAATGCATGTTAGAGCAAAAAATCTCAAGTTCAAGTATACACCTCTAAGTGACTGAACAAGAAGGGGTAGTAGTGGAGAGTTCAATGAAAATGTTGGCCCAGTGAGCAGCCACTGTGAAAAAGGTAAGCTCTACACTAGGCGTTATTAGGAATAGAATAGGAAAAAAACCTGCCAGAATTTTACTCCTCTTAGGATACTGTGTTGAATTCTGGTAATCTTGCCTGACAATGGACATTATTGAGTTTGAAAAAGTAAAGAGAAGGGCAATGAAAATGATCAATGGGTTGGAGCAACTCCCCTATGAGGAGCAGCTCAAACAGCTGAGATTGTTTAGCTTAGAAAGGTGAGTAAAGGAAGACAAGATAGAGGTATTTAAAATAATGCACAGTGTGGAGAAAGTTGGAGAGGGAGGCATTTTTCTCCCTCCCCATCACACTTGAACCCAGGTCATCCCATGAACCTGATTGGAGGGAGGTTTAGGACAGATTAAAAGGAAGTTCTTCATACAATGTATATTTAGACTATGGTATTTGCTGCCATGGGAAGTGGTGGTAGCCACCAATTTGGGGGGCTTTAAAAGGGGATTGGACAGATTCATCAGGGCGGAGGCTATCAGTGGCTACCAGATTTGCTGGCTTCGTGTGACCTTTTGTAGAGGTGGCAAGACTGCATACATCAGTTGCTGATGAGCTTTGGCAGGTGGAGTTCTTGCTCCCATTCAGTTTGAAGGATCCTGTGGGCAGATGGCTTGCCACCGTGTGTATGACATACTGGACTAGATGGAAGTTGATCTGATCCAGCATGGCTTTTCTTATGTTCAAGTACCCAAAGGTGAGGTAGACAAACAGTGAATCTGGGGTGCTGGGTTAAAATTGTCATGAGGATATCAAAAATAATGCATCAGTTTTCTCAAATTCACTATTTTGATTATGGGTCCTCAAACTATGGCCTTCAGGCTGGATCCGGCCCACCATGCCCATTTATCCAGCCTGCCATAGAGGTGTCTTGCGCACGCAGTGGCTTTCTCATGTGGAGATTGTTTTGGACTCTCTCGGAGAAAATGATCTCCTTGTGAACAAACTGGCGCCTCTCCATGCTCGCAAGGAGATTGTCTTCTCCGAGAGAGTCCAAAATAATCTCCTTGCAAGCAAGCCAGTGCCTTGCTCTGTGGTAGCTTGCTCAAAAGGAGATTGTTTTTGGACTCACTCGGAGAAAACTATCTCCGTGCATGCACGCCCTTGCCTCGCCGCCTGTGCCCACATGACCCCAGCCTGCGCCTCCCTGTTGAAAAAGTTTGAGGACCCCTGTTTAGATTGTTTCTCACCCTTCTCCAGTTCCTGTGCCTCTCACTGTATAAGGAATTTCTTCTGAGCAGTCAGTAGCAGTAACTTGAAGGGTTATTTCAGTGTAGCTCATACTCCCATGCAAGGCCAGAAGCAGTGCAGAGTCCTTGGCCCCCTTTTGGTGCGGCAAACAAATTATTGCTACATGCCCTTTCTTAGTTTCCTTACTGGAGACAAAGGAAGGCGATTTTTCATTATCTAACCATCATAAGAGATAGCCAGAATAGCTGCAGCTTTTATTGAGCTGAATCACTTGTGGAATGAGAGCTGAAAAGATCACGAAGAATGGGGTTGCCAGAGCATGTTCTTGGTGATGGGTGGAATCTCCCAGGACTCAGTTCTGGTACTGATTCTGTTCAACCTCCTTATGAATGGCCAGGAGGAGAGGGTAACCAGTCTGCTGACTGAATTTGTAGATGGTATCAAAGCAAGGGCAGTGGCCACAAAGGAGGAGCAGGCACTCCAGATCCCAAAGGATCTGGGCAGACTATGGAAGTGGGCAGGGGACAACAGGATAGCATTTAATGCAGGTAAAGTGCAAGGTCTTGCACTTGGGACACATTAATAGGTGTCATAAGTACAGGATGGGGGACAAGTGGCTGGAGAAGAGCAGTACTTGTGAAGAGGATCTCAGGTTACTTGTAGACAGCAAGCTAAGGATGAGCCAGCAGTGCGACATGGCAGTTAAGAAGGTAAATGCCACTGTTGAATGTATAGCCAGAAGCATAGCTTCCAGATCTAGGGAGGTGTTAGTATCACTGTGTAAGAATCTGGTGTGCCCTCAGCTGGATACTGTGTCCAGTTCTGGGCTCCACATTGTAAGGGATACATAGATCAGAATCAGTTCAGCTCTGGGTTACAAGGATGGTAACCAGATTTAGGGGGATGCCATAGAAGATGAGATTGAGAGAACTGGGTCATTTCAGCCTGGAAGAGACTCAGAGGGGATCTTATAGTGAAATAATAGGTATGTGAGGGGGTGTCACATGTTAGAGGGTTGTGACCTGTTCTCTCCCATGCTGGAGGAAAGGGCGTGGTCCAATGGAACAAAGCTCAAGGAACCAGGTTTCAGGTTGGATGTCAGGAAGTACCTCCTGACAGTTAGGACCCCCAGGATATGGAATGGGATTCCATGGGAGGTGTGGGGGGCATCATTGAGGGTGTTCAAGGAAAGATTGGACAACCACATGTTGCATATTACATGAGTGGAGCTGGCTGGAACCGGGGGTCAGACTAGATGGCTCTTCTGATTTGCTATGTTACTATGTTTCTAATGGCCCTGAGCACCTAGTTCCCCGAGCTTTTATTAGCATCTTCTTGTAAAGTAATACAGTATACTAATTGCAACAATACAATACTTAATGTCCACTGTTTTGCTTTGTTTTTCATTTTCTGCTGCGTGTCTAAAGTGTCCATGCTTGTGCACTCATAGTTCTACAGACATGTTTCCTTCCTGGGTCTTACATATAGGAGTGATGGGCTATGATAGCCTGTAAATATAATTGTAATCCTGGTTTGTATTTTCCTTCCATCATGCCAGTGTGTATAGGGGGGTAGGTTGGTCAGGAGAGTTGGTGGTGGTCAATTGACGAAGACACTCAATTGACTTCAGTGGGGATTTTGCAATTTTGTGGGCATAACAGTAGGCTGCTAGGCAAAACCAAGTTCTGAGAGAGAAGAGGCTTCAGGCTAACTTTTCTGCAGTCATCTCCTTTATATATGCATCTGTATACCCACAAACCCTGCTCCATTTCCCCATTGCTATGAAAAAGTTTTCCAAGGGTATTGTACGAGCAGTAGCTTCCCAATAGGAGTAGAGACACTGCCATTTCTCCTGTCCTTAGCATAGTGATGTACTCCACCAACACAATGGGATTTTCTGCAACCTTTCCATAGTCAATGTAAGTGCACTCTTCCCCAACATAGTGCTTTCCAGATATCTTGGACTATAGCTTCCAATCAGCCCCAGCTGCAGGCATCAGGTTGAGGAAGGCTGCTGAACAGAATGATTCTAAAATGATATTTAGAAAAGTTTTTTCATCAGAATATGCAGTGTGCTTTTTATCTGATTTTTTCTGTACATAATGAGGCTTATGCATGTTACAGCACATAGCTATAATGATGCCTTATATGCTGTTCTGTTTCAGAATTTCCACATCTGAACTATCAACACCACATTCTTCCTGCAGAACTCCAAGAAATGCCAAATCTCACTTTACTCAGTTGAAAAGACTGCTTCTACTTGAAGAAAATAAAAAATGTGATAAGGGAGACCTGAAAAAGTTCTTACAGTTACTTTGAAAAACCTTTTAATAATTGATATACCATAATTGCAGCTGAATAAAAGAATGTGTCACTTGGTTTTCCTATTAAAATGGTATGAGATAATGGAAAAGAACACAGGGTAAAGTATGCATATAATGTGTGGAAGACCAGTATTTCATTTCTTCCCTCTTTCTCCTGGCCCTTTTCTTACTGTATTGGGGTGAAGAAACAGATTTCCATACAATTGCTCACATCTGAATTACTTGGCTCATAAGAGGTGCTGCTACTTTTTAAGGAGATGGCTTGTACTTAAAGTTTTAACCTAGAAAATAAACACAAATTGCTTTGAACTTTATTCTTTTCAATATGAAAATGTGCTCTGAAGGGATGGAAATTACAAATTCAGCAAACAGTACTTAATAATGAATTATGTTTTACATAAAACAGCAGAACATTTGCACAGAAGTTAAAAGTGCTGATAGATTTTAATATTCACATAAACATTCATCAAAATACTTGTAGCAAACAAATGATGAATATGAGCTAGCAGCACCCACCACTGCAACCACAAGCAAGCACACAATAGTGACTCCAGTGGAAAGATACATGTGAAACATTAAAGAACAGGATCCTGCTGAGAATACTTACGTCAGTTATTCATGATCCATACCAAAGCCAAGTTTATAAATCCTTCCACAGAAAAATCCAGTCCGGTTCTCACTGCCCCAGTCTTTGTTTTGCACCAATAAATAAAAGGTTTTTAGTTGTTGATATTATCAGACAACTGGGAGTCAGAAACATTCGGGCAAATCAGACATCTATAAGATGCTGATCTATTTTTTTGCCTACTCCTAAATTAACTTTTGAATAAAATGCTAAGTATTATTATATGTGTACTTGACTCATGTGCAGAGTTGTGGATGAGCCAATGTCAAAAAGATTTGATAGTCGCATACTTTAAGATGGTCTTGAGCAGGTAATTTCTCTCCATTGGAAACTGGTGATTACAGAATACAACTTTTACTTGATGGTTTTAATAAGCTTCCTGTGAGCATGAGTGAATTCAGTTTACAGGACTGCTCTTACTCATCCTAATTTTAGGAATCAAAAAGCACAAAATATTCTAAAACATATTGTGTGGCCTGAGCTGTGGCAATAATCAGGTTGTTAAATGGGATGAGCAAAAGGGTGGCCACATTTGTTTCAATCAATTTTATTGTATATGAAATTAAATTGAATATTGTGGTTAACACAATGGTTTGTACAAATAGAGCTACTAAATGTATTTGTGGTTCTGCTCATTGTAAATCAATCATGCATAGACCCACAAGTAAGGTTTTGCAAAAGTAAACTCTTGTTCATCATCTGATGATCTAGCAATTTTCAGTGTGGTGACTCCAGTGCATACACGTAGTTGGATCCATTTGTTGCATGAGTGGAAGTGCACTTGCATAATGGGATCTCTCTATTGTCTGCACTTCCAAATCTGCTCTTAACAGTCCCCAGTATTCTGAAGGAAATAGAGGGCATGGGGCAGATACAGCCATTCTGCTAGGAGGAAGTGTGTTGTAACCCTTGTTGGTTAGTATTATTTCCTGGTTGCATTGATCAATACAAGGAATAATTCTGTTTGTTGCTGAACATTACCCACACATATCATTTTAAGACAGAGGAACTGGACACACTATGTCTTCTCTGCAACCACACTTATTAAAGATTAATGCTACATCTGAATAACTTGTACAGCAAAACATCATCTACGCTTCAGTCCTAAGCATATTAGTTGGAAGTAACTGCCTCTTGAATCCAATGGTTCTTTCAAGTACCTTTATTTCTGTGTTTTACTGATACAAAATGCAAGTTGCTACAGTGAACTTTTCCTGTTTAAGATTTTTGTATTATACTAGACTTATATTTAAATATTCCAAGGAATGTACCTCACTAAAAATCTGATTTTACTCATGGTAACAGATAAAATATATTTAAAACTGATCTTCCATTTTTCTCAAAATATAAATGACTACAGTGGTACCTTGGCTCACAAACTTAATCCGTTCCAGGACTCTGGTCATGACCCAAATTGGTCGTGAGCCAAGTCAGATTTCCCCATAAAGGTCAATGTAAATAAGGTTAATCCGTTTTGGAACTATTTTTTTTACTCACAAAACTTTGAAGCAACGTGAACAACAAAGATCGCGGCCACCCCCCCCCCTCACCCAAGTGATTGTGTGTGGGGGAGGGAGGAGATGGGCGCAATCACGGGTGTGCTGGGGGGGAGGTGAGCGCAGGGGGGCAGGTGCAGGGGCAGCCATCTCCCCCCCAGCATGACGCGGCCATCTCCCCTCCCCCCCCAGCATGACCGCAATTGCACCTGTGCAGGAAAGGTGATCATCACCCAATGCAGAGTTCGTGACCTGTGATAAAATTTTCATGACATTTCGGTTCGAGACCCGATTTGGTCGTGAACTGAGGCGTTCATGAACCAAGGTACCAGTGTATATTGTAATATTTTGGTTTTATCAAGGTTTTATCAATCTTAAAATGTTTATTTTGTATGTGGAGACACACATGAATCTTGCAAGGGGAAGTTTCCTATTTTAAAAAGCCCCATTTCAAATGAACTAGAGGGGAGTCTCACAAAGTCCAAGCAAAACCTTGAGTTCTTTGGGGAGGGAATACTGGGCAAGATTCACCCAAAGTTGAACACACTAAAATCCCGCAGAAACCAATGTAACATAAAAATAGCTTATCTTTGCCTGGACTGTCTATTTCTCGAGTCTTCACCAGAACTCATATTCTGAAACTTTGACATTAAAAAAGTAATAAAACAAATCCAAGTTGGCAAAACTGCATTTAAACATGAGTCCAGCAGTCTACCTGTCCCAGAATTGCTTTCCAAGCTTAGGTTTTGGATTGACTTGTGATCTGTATCTTTTCAATTATTTTTTACAGATTGAGGCAAAAAGATGATAATTTTATGAAATATATTCTGAATAAGAAAAATGAGTTTTACAATTACGGCCTTTACATATTTCTGAATGGTCTATTTGAACACAATACTAAATTAACCTTCTGCAACTGGCTCCCATCAGCCCTAGCCAGCATGGCCATCGGTCAGAAATTCTGGGAGTTGTTCAAAACATCCAGAGGGCAATAGGCTGTGAAAGGCTCACTAAACCATAATCTAGTGTTACAGATACCAATGTTTTCAATTAACTCTGCCTTCTTATGTTTGAACTTTGACCCATGGCTGAGTGTTAGGGTTAGAGTTTCTTATAATAATTTTGGTTTCATCAGAAAAGCTGTTTCATTTTCAGTTCTTGAATGTTAATCAGTTACATCCACCAATACTATGACAGCATGTGCAGCTTTGCAAAATTGAGTGTGTTCCAACCAGAATGATGCCCTTTTAACTCCAGTTAATTTAAGTGTATGTTTAAATCTTATTCAGTGAAATCACTGGGAAAGAATACTACTTAAACTTCATGAATTGTAATTTTATGAAAGATGGCCGATGAGAAGAACAATATTCTACTTTTATTTAAAACTTGTCCTAATAATTTCACTTTTTAATATTCTTGCTGAATTAACAATCCTAAAATACTGTAATATTAAATACATACTAGGATGCAATAGCATAAAAGATGTTCGGTAGTGTCGGGGATTTCATGGTGTTTGAAATGACCTCTTGATTGATTCAGGTTTATGAGTCACAGGCATTCCAAATGAAGGGCTGTTAAGATTTTTTAAAAATGCATTTTTCTTCAATGATCACTTGAAAACTAATGGACAACAGAGTGCTTTGAATAGTTTTTGCCCAGTTCTACTTTACATATTTAAATTGCCATATTCAGAACAGTTGTTTGTTGTGCAATGATTTGTTTATTTTTATCCACTAGTATTCAGTGTTTTGCCAACAGAGGAAATAGTATCAACGTTGCTGCTAAGTTTGCCAGAGACCATGGCAGTAGCAGCTAAGTCACTTAGGTTAAAATTTTTAGAGATAGGAAGTCTTGCACCTGCAAATAACTTCGGTATGTGAAACTGTAATATGGTTCATGCAAGCAAAAAGGCAGATATGATGAGATGCAGGAACCAGGTCAACATGTGCTTCTTTCATGAAGAGTTGAGAACTTTTTCTGTATTAACACATCAGGCAACAATTGACTTGCTGGAAACTTCCTGCATTACCACAGGCAGTAAGAGATTTCTCTTACATAAAGGAGTAGCTCAGTTCATCAGCTAACAACTGTAACATGCCACAGCATGATGTTTTTGTAGTGGGTACAATCATATGCACACCTGCCTGGGGGTAAGCTCCACTGTATAGAGGAGACCTTCTGAGTAAACATGCATAAGATTGCAATGTGAAACTCAAAAAAAAAAAAAAAAAAAAAAAAAAAAACCTTTTAGCAACAGTTAATTAAAAATAAATATAGATTTATTGTAACTGTCCCATTACTCTCTGTAACTGTCCCATTACTTTCAGTTGATTATCTTTACTGGAAGCTGGTCTAAAAAGTACAATATACAGATGAGAGTTATCTACTGAGATTGGTGTAGAACAGAATTACTGTGCAAGCGTATGGTCCTTCAGTAAGGGAAAAGAAACTCTCAATGAAATATTACTATTAGATTAAGTAAATTAAATTACTGTATGAATTAGCATTTTAAAGTTGTTTATGATTCAACTTCTTTTTAATATCACTTGTATTCAAAGTCTTTAAATGACATAATATTGGCAGTTTTATTTCTTAGATGATAAACCATTACTGTCAAGTTGCACGAGTTATCTTTTATAATCAAGATATCAATTTCTGCTACTTAACTGCAGATTCTTATACAATTAGTTTAAATTAAAACTATACCCAGTAAAGAGCATATAAGAAAAACAAAAGAAGCAATTTTCTACTGGGGGTGTGCTCTAATCAAAGTGAGTACAAAAGATAACTACAATTATCACTTAACATAATAATACACAGATGCTGCCTCTCACATAGTACCTGCTTCACCACTTGTCAGTAAATCGTAAACAAAGCAACATTTAACATGTCTTATAAATTAGAACACTTCAGTGCTACTCTCAACAAATATACAAAAATAATATCAATGAATGCAACCAATTCTTCATTCCAGTGGAATATTTGAATGTCAATTGTCACTATAAACATCCCCTGCATATGGAAGATGCACCTGACTTCCTGTGACATTGGGGAGTCTTGACAAGTCAGGAAGGCTCTGGATGCGTGACTTCAGTTCTTTCCGTACCTGCGAGACTCTAGTTAATTTGCGCTTGTATTCCTGTAAAACATGAAGAAAAACATTATTTTCCATACCTGTATCAGCCACTAAAGA